CAATGAAAGACAATAATCAGTATGGTTTAAAAGGTTAGAAAAAATTGATTGAACCAAAGATAATACAATAAAAGACATGCCAATTATGACATAAGAAAAGAAAAATGGTAAAACTTGGAACATACAAATAGAAATAATAAAATTTTCAAGATTTACCACTCGGCATTTTGTATTATAATTTTTTAATCAATTTTACAGATAATTTAGCATAAAAACATTTTCGAATCAAAAAAAAAAACTTCGGTATTTATCACTGTAGCATTGTGATTTATAAACTAAATTGCAGAAAATATTCTTAACCACAACTTTTATATAAAATATTTTTGCTACTAAGCACCATTTTCGCGAAAAATAGATTTATTAAAAAGGGCAACAAAAAAATCCAAGGGAGTGAAACTTTTTTTATAGCTACATGAATTAATGAAAGTAAATTAAATTTTTTTTATAATAATTAGGATTAAAAAGCAATTTAAATAACATACCACTAAACGTTTTTGATTGTTAAGCTACAGAAACTGTAATAATGTTAAATAATTGTAACCAATATTTTTATTTTTATTGTAATCTGTCTATATTCATCAAATAATAAGAAGCAACATGGTCTATTTTTGAACATTAAAATCATCACTATTGAGCAAAAATTATGGCAGTGAAATCTATTTAAACAAAATCATTTAACTGCTTCTCATTAACAACAATTTTCCTATATAGCTTCACCGCTATGAACCGCACCGCCACCACCGCTACTACCCCCACTACTGCTGCCGAATCCTTTGCTAATCAAGGATCCTATATTAAACCCGCCATGACCGCCGCCTCCACTAACGCTGCCCAATTTACTAGTGACTATATTCAATAGAGGAGCGGCGGCTTGGAGTTTTTCACCGATAGCACCCGAAATTACAGACGATAGGGAGATTATCGGATCGGAGGGGGGGACGATATTGTGCGCGGCATTTTTCGCTATGTTCTGCTTATCCAGTTGGTCGATCCAGGCGGTTTTTTGGTCGATGAAGTTGTTTAGTTTCTGTGGAATTGAAATTGTTTATCAGACGTTTTTAATAATAGCGTATTTGTAACGTTCTGAGCAATAATTGTAATTGCACATGGATCTATCACCAAAATAGATAGACAAAGCCACTACAAGCTCACATAGGGAATTTAATGTGTAACAGTGAGAGGTACAAATTCAGTAGGTAAGAGTGAGACAAAGTGAGGGGAAGCGGGGAGTGGGGGAAATTTAATCTCTTTTAACGTTGAAGAGAAAAAACATGCGCAGAACGAAAAGTCAGAAGGGCCTTAGCGTGTATCTTTATTGATAGTTATTTGTGGCCATAGTAAATGATTTTAACCTATTTTATTAACGCTTTGATTACCTATATTAATTTTTATGTTTTTTACCTACATTTCATTGATAGTTATTGATAGTAAATGATTTTAAAAGGTAAAACTGTAGAAATAATATCCACTATTGCTACGTTTGAAAAGTACCTCACGGAGCGGAGTAGAGCTAGTAGATTTTTTAGTCACGTGATCATCGAGCAAATTAAGCTTATGTGGAATAAAAGAACGGCTCTGGATTTGTTTGTGTTTTCCGTATCCGGTTTTCATTAAAATAACAAACGTAAACCTTTCTTTTAAATCAAATTTGAATCTCTCGTCTCATGATTTTTGTTGCAAGTTGTAACGTAAAGTTAATTTTTAGCTGGGTTATTTTTCACTTTTTGCTTTCACTAGAAAATAAACCATGTTCTCATTTCTGTCTGACATTTTTTATAAATATTTTTTTAATAACCAAAACACATATGAAAAAGAATAAACTGCAACACAAGAGACAACGAACAATATGTCTGTACATCTCAGAAAAGTACTTTGTCAATTGTCACAGAAATTACATTTACTCCGAAAGCTCTAAAATTTAATTCGAAGTAAATAGATCTTACACGATTTACCAGCTCTGCATTAAAAGGAACAGATCCTGTCGAGAAGCTGCAGATGTACTAAAAGAACGGCTTCGAGTAAAAAGAGCAAAACGAGGTGGTACTTAAACGCAGCATATATAGCTACTGCGATATTTTTATCATTGAATGTATGCGGTTATTGACACAGATAAAATGATTTTTAACAGTTCTTAAAAATTGACCAGAAATGCGATGAAATATTTTTTTTACAAAATTATGATGTAATATTATTTTTTAATTTTTTTTTATCTTTTCATATTTACAAACTGATAATCAAACTCGTATATGGCTGTCAACTTGGATCCTTTGGATCGACTGTCTGCCTAAAGATAAATAAATGTCAAACAAAAACATGAAACGTCAAACGAAATGTCAAACGAAATAACAAACGTCAAACGAAAACGTCAAACGAAAACGTCAAACGAAAACGTCAAACAAAAACGTCAAACGAAAGCGTCAAAAGAAAACTTTATGCGAAACGTCAAACGAAAACGTCATGCGCAACATCAAACGAAACGTCAAACGAAAATGTTCACATAAAACGTCAAACAAAAACGCCAAACGTCAAACGAAAAGGTCAAATTAAAACGCCGAACGTCAAACGAAAACGTCAAATGAAAACGTTAAACGAAAACGTCAAACGAAACGTCGACTTTTCTCTTTAACATTAATCTATATCACGCTCTCTACATAAGCAAGTTTTTCCCGTTGGAATCGGACCAACAATAACAAAAATATAAGTAAGTTTTAGGCCCTTTTGACCTGTCACTGCGCAAGATTTTTCTGTTCGACGGTAATCTATACCACGTTCTCTACATAATTCCGTTTTTCCCGTTTCAATCGGACCAATAGCAATAAAGATACACGCTAAAGCCCTTCTGGCTTTCCGTTCTGCGCATGTTTTTCTATTTTACGTTAATCTATGCCGCGTTCTTTACATAATTCCGTTTTTCCCGTTTCAATCGGACCAATAGCAATAAAGATACACGCTAAAGCCCTTCTGGCTTTCCGTTCTGCGTATGTTTTTCTATTTAACGTTAATCTATGCCGCGTTCTTTACATAATTCCGTTTTTCCCGTTTTAATCGGATCAATAGCAATAAAGATACACGGTAAGACCCTTCTGGCTTTTCGTTCTGTGCAGGATTTTTCTGTTCGACGTTAATATATACAACGTTCTCTACATAATACCGGTTTTACCGTTTCAATCGGACTAATAGCAATAAAGATACACGCTAAGGCCCTTCTGGCTTTTCGTTCTATACATGTTTTTTCTATTTAACGTTAATCTATACCACGTTCTCTACATAATTCCGTTTTCCCGTTTAAATCGGACCACTAGCAATAAAGATACACGCTAAGGCCCTTCCAGCTTTTCGTTCTGTGCAGAATTTTTTTGTTTGACGTTAATAAATACCACGTTCTCTATATAATGCCGTTTTTTTCCGATTGAATCGGACCAATAGCAATAAAGATACACGCTAAGGCCCTTCTGACTTTTGGTTCTGCGCATTTTTTTCTCTTCAACCTTAAAAGAGATTTAATTTACCCACTTCCCGCTTCCCCTCACTCTGTCTCACTCTTACCTACTGAATTTGTACCTCTCACTCTTACACATTGAACTCCCTATGTGAACTCGTAGTGGCTTTGTCTATCTACTCACCAATTTTTGAATTTAAAGCTTATCACCAAATAATTATTATATCACTAATTTGAAATGATTCTGATTTTATTTTACAGTTTTACACTGTCTTGTTCTTAATTTTTAAGTTCAGCTGTTCTAATTATATTGTAACTTTTAAAAATAAATGTTCATAAACTAACTGAATATAACTATATTTTTTATTACAAATTGCATAGTCTAAATACAATTTTGTTTGTGTTTAATCTAAGACAAAACTTTTCTTTTGCAGTTTCAAACTTTTTCTGTAAAATGTATTCCTACTTTTTTGAAAATTCCAAATTTTCTAATAGATTTTTGAAACAATTAAAGTAATCCTAAAACTTACCTGAACTTTTTTTTTATTAAAAATCCTATAAATATGTTAAAGTTATTTCTAAAAGAAAGGTTAGTGAATATTAGTATATTTTTAATTATATAATATAATACACTACTCAATACCCATTAAAATACGTTAGTGAAATCCTTTAACTTCCACAGAAAAGGATTTTGTTAAAATTTCATATAATTACACTTCAACAGTTTTATTTCATTTATTTCTACTGTACCGAAGACTAGACTGGTAAGTAAACTATCAATTATTATTTAAATAAAAACAAAGTATGTATTGACATACCAAAACACGCTAAAAATGTATAACATTTACTACAAATCACAAACTTTGAAGTATTTTCATCTTTTTACATTATTTTTTATTTTAAACATTTGAGAATTTAAATTGATTTTCTATAATTATTTAAGTATATATAAACCAATTAAATATGAACTGTTTAAATGTAATTGCTACATAATTTTAACCAAAGTTTGTTAATTTAAAATAACTAAAACCAAACCAAAATTCCCTTTGATAGAGTTTGAAGCCGTTATATGTTTTGTGCCATATTTGTAAGCAAATTTGTAAAAACGCAACAAGCATTCTTAAGAGAAAATAGTTTTTTACAAGCTTTAATGTTACACAGTGTAGTGTATCTCAAAATTTCTAAGACGAACATTTCTATTGAAAAAATACATGAAAAGTATAACAAACTTTATTAGGGACAATAATAAGTAAAAAAGTATGTAGAAAAAAGTAGATTTGTTTTTTTTCTCATACCTTTTATTATTTTAGCTATTTGAGTTTAGTTCCTCTTTTTTACATTACAATTTATGCAGTTTTCCTTTTATCTAACCATCTGTGATATTTTATTTAATTGTTTTCAAATAATATAAAACAAAATATTATTTTGAAGCAAAATCATCTTTTTTTAATACATTTTTAGTAACAAACCAAATATGATTCGTTTAAAATTGTTGATTACACTACACTGAACATTTTTGTAAGCATTGAAGTTGCTGCGTTCTAGTTACGTAAGAACTTACATTAAAAACAAATCCTAATACGGCATTTTTCACTCCTGTTACTACGTCTACTTTCCTTTTGTCTCTAATGATACTGCTTTTTGTTAGTACCTAAAAGTAAAGTGATAAAAGTGTTAGTTACACATGTAAAAATCGACCCGTTCTACTGGATATTGATCCTGAAAATTAATAAAAATTAACATAATAATGTCTAATTAAAAACAACCAACAGTTATAGGTATTACAGACTTGAATCTATGTTTTAATATGTTGTTTTGAGTTATTGATGTTTTAATTTGTCTAGTGTCACCACATTTTTACTTTATTTTAAAATAAAAAGTGATAAATTATTAATTTCTGAATTTAATAATAATTTGAGCACTATTTTTTGTATTTTATTGTATATTAATATATTTGCTAAAATTCTTATTATTATTAAATCGTGCAGATATGTAAGGTCGGTATGGGAAAATAGGACAACTTTGTTTGAAATAGGCTTTATCTTTTTTTTTAATTTTGTATGTTTTTATTTGTTTTTCTACAAACTTCATTATGAAAATTGTTCGTTTATGGTGACATATTCTCTTTTGTAACCCCTAGACATTTCTTACTGCGAATTTATAAGGATTACATTATCTGCATTCAAAATTAAATTTGTGAATAATATTCGTTGCAAGATTTTGTAAATTATTCTCTTAGACCCTTCATATGTTTCAATATATTATTTACTGTATGTTTTAATATATGCTTTAATATGTTTTATTATATGTTTTAATATTTGGTTTAATTTATAATATAATAGCAATACTCAACCTAATTCACCCTCTTACGAGTGAATTTTAACCCCAAAAACTAAGCTTGCCGGGGGATTACATTATCTGTGTTCAAAATTAAATTTGTAAATAACCTTTTCTCCAAGATTTTGTAAATTATTCCCTTGAACCTTTCATATGTTTTAATGTATGATTTATTATATGTTTTTATATATTCTTTAATATATTTTAATACATGTTTTAATATTTGGTTTAATTTATAATATAATAATAATACTCAACCTAATTCATCTTCTTACGAGTGAATTTTAACCCTAAAAACTAAGCTTGTCGGAGATTACATTATCTGTATTCAAAATTAAATTTGTGAATAATCTTAGTTCCAAGATTTTGTAGATTTTCCCCTTGGACTTTTCATGTTTTAATATATGATTTATTGTATGTTTTAATATATGTTTTAATTTATGTTTTAATATATGATTTAATATATGGTTTAATATATGGTTTAATATATGATTAAATATATTTTTTAATATATGTTTTAATATATAATATTAAAATAATAAACTCCCTAATTCACCCACTTACGAGTAAAATTTAACCCCAAAAACTAAGGTTGTCTGGGGATTACATTATCTGCATTCAAAATTAAATTTGTGAATAATATTCGTTCCAAGATTTTGTAAATTATTCTCTTGGACCCTTCATATGTTTCAATATATTATTTATTGTATGTTTTAATATATGCTTTAATATTTTTTAATATTTTAATATATGATTTAATATATGGTTTAATATACAGAGCATCACAAGTCTTACCCCCTAACTAACTCGTTACTTGGGTCTTGTTAGGAAAATCGCCGAGACACGTCGATTCTTGATTTCTACAATGTACATTTTTGTATGAATAGTTTACCCTTAATTTCATCCATTACTGGAGGGGAGCAACCCTTTTGAAATATTTAAATGGCATGGGATGGTGAGTGATAGCTCTATTCAACCGTGCAAAAAGTTTTGAAATTTGCTTAATTGCCTGTTGATTTATTAATGTTTAAAAATAACAAAACATCACAAATAGGAAAGCAACTAAATTAACAGTGACCTTATCTAATGGCAAAAAGTCTTACTTCACGTCTGAACCAACACCGATTTCATGCAGGGCCGAATTTTAATTCTAAGGATGAGTGCGCTACGTTAATTGCCGTTATTCTGAAACAGTAAGTAGTTGAGAATTAAAAGAGCAAATTTCCAATTTTTTTGCATGGTTGAATAGAGAATAAAACCCCCTTTAAAATGAGCTATCATTCACCACCCATGCCATTTTATTTTTTCGAAAGGGTTGCTCCTCTCCAGTAAGGGATAAAATTAAGTGTAAACTATTCATACAAAAATGTACATTGTGAAATCAAAAATCGACGTATCTCGACGATTTTCCTAACAAGACTCCAGTAACGAGTTAGATAGGGGCGATAAAACTAATAATACTCTCACTAATCCACCCCTTTACGAATGAATTTTTTACCCCAAAAGTTAAGCTTGTCTGGGGATTACAATATCTCTGTTTAAAATTAAATTTGTGAATAATTATTTTCTTTCCAAGATCTTGTAGATTATTCCCTTCATATGTTTTAATATATGATTTATTGTATGTTTGAATATATGTTTTAAAATATGTTTTAATATATGTTTTAATATATGTTTTAATATATGTTTTAATATATGTTTTAATATATGTTTTAATATATGTTTTAATATATGTATTAATATACAGAGTGGCCCAAAAGTCTGGAAACGGCCAATTATCTTGTAAATTGCTGGTCCTAATTATACAAAATTTGGGGTACATCTATTTTGGGTTACGATGATTCCAGATTTGATATTTGCAATGTAGCCAGATTTGCTGTTTCTCTTAAATTATTAGTCACTTTGGTTTTTCAAATTCATCACCGTGTATATTCAGTCATTATTGGAATCTCCTATGTAATACTAGTTCAACCATATGTAACACTTATGGTTTTATGTAGTCTAAAAGGTCTTAAATAAATAAAATAAGTCTGGCAACGCCTAATTGTCTCAATAAATTTTTTAATACAAATTATTTTCAACTACATTAAAACGTAACAATTAAAAGATTATAACATTTTTAACATAATGGTTACTTTATCAAGTGTTCAAATGTGCTCCATTTGTAAGTTGACAGTACCCAATCGATGGTAGAATGCGTCTACCACATTTCTCCATAATTGTTTTATTTATTTAAGACCTTCCAGACTACATAAAACCATAAATGTTACATATAGTTGAACTCGTATTGAATAGGAGATTCCAATAATGACTGAATATATGGGGTGATGAATTTGAAAAACCAAAGTTACTAATAATATAAGAGAAACGACAAATCTGGCAACATTGCAAATATCAAATCTGTAATTTCCGTATCCCAAAATAGGTGTACCCCAAATTTTGTACAATTAGGATTAGTAATTTGAGATAATTGGCCGTATCCAGACTTTTGGGCCACTCCGTATGCTTTAATATACGTTTTAATCTAATCTAGGTTTTAATCTGTTTTAGTACGTTTTAATATTTACATATTTGTTTTAATATAATCTAAGTTTTAATGTTTTAATATTGTTACGCTGGTTTTTGGTATCACAATTTATTTTAACTAAACTTTAACAATTATACAACTAATACAATAACTGATAACATTAACGTTTAACGTCTATCATAAAACTAAACTCTGACGTCAGGTTGTCGACTTATATAGCTTGCCTCGACCTTCTAGAACCTTCTCGAACAATCTGGGCTTTTTTTTTACAAGGAATGACATTTCGAGACATTTCTGGAATATTCTATCTTCTTCATTTACTCGTCCCTTTACTTATGACGACCGCAGCACGCTACAGGGTGCTGCGTAACAATATGTTTGTTGTAATAAATGTTTTAATCTATGTTTTATTATAATGCTGTATACCTAGAAGGAGGCAACAGAAAAACGCGGTTAAATCAACAGGAATGTTTTGGAGTAGATTTTACTATAAATAGATGATCAGTTACCATTAGAAGAAGTCCAAATACATAATTGTCATATAAAAATAGTTGTCTATAGTAGTAATGTCTTACAAAATACAATACCACTTTTATCACCAATATTATGAATAGAAAATGTTTTTAATTATTTTCAAAAATTTCATTCGAACATGCATTCATCAAGTTTACACGTAACACTTGTTTTTCGTTTATTAATATCTTCTATTCCCGTATATTTTAAATACAAAAAGTCACAAAGGACGTTGGACATTTTATAATCTTCTGTAATATCCTCGGAAATATACAAAAAAAAAGACAACTGCAAAAAGGACATTCATATTGAAAGCCGCGCTTCGTTCGTTAGCTGGACATGTTTGTTTTAATCTCTATGTTTTATATCATATAGTATGAAACGTTAATCATTTGACGTCAAGCATGATTGTATTCATAAAAGCTATCCACTAAATACTGAAATAATTTTGAATCGATAAATGTGATTAATTATGTCAATGGCATATTATTAATAAATGTAGTCAATTATTACTCAAAGCTTTTGTGAGTAAAATTTTATTATGATATACATCTGTATATAAGTTCTGATCTATACCTGATAGTTTTAATAATTGTTTTAACGATATAGATACAGCATTCTAATTGATTGTTCGACTTTAATAAGAGATATCTGCAGGCATTAAGATCAACAAATTGAATTTGAATGGTGTTGGTATTATAACTATGTTAAGTCAAATTGATCTAATGATTGTACAAACAACACACGACAAAACTAGGTATGAATCAATTAGAATATTTCATACATGAAAATAAGAAAAGCAAATAAATAAATTGACATATTTTCTTAGTTCACTCAATTTAAATTAATTGAAAGAAAGTTTGGTATAGAAACATTTCACTTTCAACTTTCATCTGTAGGTAATTTTGTCCCTAAAATTACTGTGAAGATAATGTATAAAAATGATGATACTGTAGTGACATTTTAAAAGTAAATAAAAAATAAATGTCTTGCTCACTCAAAATTATTACAATTATATAAATTTGATATTAACGAAATTGCTGCAATTTGAAAGTTAAAGTACAATACATAGTGGATGTTTCATGTGTTTTTCTTTGTATAAAATGTTTTTGGACACACTCTGTAGATATATTTATAAAAATCATTTAAATATTTTTTGTGATGTCCTGTATGTTATATTTTTTAGTTAAAATGTTAAACAAAATTTCTATAAATTTTCAATAATTTTCTTTTTTGTCCAGCTTGAATTAAAAAAATTCTCTAATATATTTTTT